CTTGTAGTAAAATGCGACCAATGGGGCTGTCCTTCGGACGAGACCGTATAAACCGAAGCCCCGTGTCACAGCAGGTGTAGCAAGATAAAGATCCCTCCGTGCTCCAAAGGCCATAAGTGCCGAGCATAGGCCTAAATTTGCAGCGCTTCACCGGCAATGATGACGTCTCCTATCCGTGAAATATTCTGGAGAGGGACGTTGAAGGTGTAGAATCAATCAATAAGTGCTTTCTCGCCTTCTCGGTTGACCAGATTGACCCTATGACGTCACAGCAATGGCGCGTGAAATCTCGATGAAAATATGCATATTGAGAATTTTGAATTGCAAAAACAAGGAATATATACATTTTTGGTAAAGAAAATTTAATGACTGGTTTTAATCGCATATAAAATCATTGTTATATCGAAAAATAAAGCGGCGTGATAAGAATCCTTTAAATTCAAAAGCAAAATACAAAATAAAAGAACAGACGGAAAGATGGATAGACGGAAGACATGGCAAACATAATATGCACTGGACATATAAATACAAACAGAAAATACTTATATATACATTTCATAACTAATGGAGTAATAAAGGATACACTTTTTATCAAAGTACATGTACAAAATAAACAAGGTGTTACAAAGTAAGTGTTTGTAAATGACACATGCCAATTTTTTCGTTTCAAGTACAACATAAACAAAGTTTCAGAAAACAAGTCTCCGGATGAAACATCGCGGTTTTTTTCACCACAAAGTACATCATACGCGAAGTTCTAAAAAAAAGTCTCGAACAGCTGCTAAATTATATCTTGAATGATATCGTCGTTGCACAGCAAGTTTAATTTTAGTTGCTGTTGTGAGAGAAGGTAGTCTTCAAGATCCTCTGGTGTGTTTGAAGTAGTTGAGCTTGGTTGCGTTTGGTGAGGAATACTTTCAAGGGGCCTTCGAAGAGTGTTTTTTTCATTAAATGCTATGCCTAAACCTTTATCTGTTCTACATTGCAAGAAAAAAAAAGGATTTCAAATGAAATATTAAATACTGGTTATGCTTAAGTTTAGTCTTTTTTCTCATTGTTTTTGGCTTGAAATTGAGAAAATGTAAACAGCAAACTTGACATGTATTCTAAATTAGTTTATATCAAGTTATTTTTTAAATCATAAAATAAAACAATTATTTTTTTTCTTTCATTGTGATTTTGCAATATCAAAGAAAAATCTCCTCCTTGCCGTTTGGATTCGATGATTTTTTTAGGACCCCTACTCCCTTAGATTGTTAGTCATTGTAAAAATTGCAATAGGTGTATTTTGTAATAAGATCAACATATCATCAATTTATCCCCAATTTAGTTCAAGTGCGCATTTTGGCCAACAAGTCTCTTGATTTTATTATTTTTATTTTGCCTCCTTAAATTTTCAAATTTAATCATCTTTACTTAACAGGGGATCATTATTCTATGGGGTCCTCATTTTACGTGAAATATGTGAAATATGAAGATTTATAGGCTGATAGCCTATAATGGGAAAAAGGTCATTTTGCATCTTTGAATAAGGAGCCATCATTATTTTATTATTATTGCTTTGGACTTACTCGTGTGCGAATCTTCAAATTCCAGTATCGCAATATCGTCTTCCTTGCTGTAGAACGGGACATCAATTTTGAGGAAATATTTGAAGCCCTCCTCCTCTCGCATGCGACCCAAAATGACACACATTAAGTTCTTGTTGAAGAAAGTTGAAAGCTCTTCTACAAATATATATTTTTTTCTTAAGAAGTAACAATCTGTTCATACATGTATTGCAAAATTAACAATGTATTTCAAACATTACCCTTTGCTTTTAAGAATCCAGTGTCTTCCATGGTTTGTAACAGATGACTGAATTTCAGATTGTCACTAGATCTCATCATCCATTCATTGATTACGTTTTCTATATTCTTTTCAACGTCTGCTTCGGGTAAGCAATCAACAGCCAGCTTCTGCAGTAACTTTCGGTAATTAAGCTGACGATTTGGGTCTCGCTGTGCTTCCTCAATGACTTTCTCCTTGTAATTTCCTTAATATAGTTAGTTGAAGCCTAATTTACATGTACAATTTGAGCAAAGTTTAGTTATTTTGAAAAAGACAAATAGTTTTAAAAGTAATATTGCAGTATTTTAGCTTAATATAATAATATTGTTTTAATTGAATTTGTGCCTGAATGATATGTATTTATATTTTGGTGTTCCTAGACTATTAAAAATTATCTGCACTATTTTCGTCTAGGAGTGGGATCACACGGCTGGGGATGCTCATTCCTCATCGCACCTTATCCCACCTCTGATATTTTAGAGGTCTGTGTTTGCTTTTCTCATATTTTGAATTTTTTATGGACTTTGATAGTTTTGAATATCGTTCATTATCTCCATATCATTCGTTGAGGTCGTCAACAAATTTCAATATTGCAGGGGCATGACCAAGTTTAAAAATAAAGTTTAAATATAATTGTTTCCAAATCCAAGACTATCTCCACTTCGTGAAAAATGCTGCAAACTTATATAGACTTCAGTATTAAATTGCTATACCGTAAATCTGGAAATTTTTACTGTAGATAAATTTTTAGCAAATTTGCGCGTGCATTGCATTCGCAAAAATATTTTTCTTAAAAATAAATCAACATGTGAAGATTTTTTTTCTGAGGACTCTTGTCTATTTTTTACTCAGTGAATAGGCGTCGGTAAGCACTGGTCATTTTTAAAAGAAACCTGTTTGTAAACACTAGTCTACCATATAACTACAAGTTAATTACCCGTGCGTGTAAATTGCCCTCATTATATGCAATATCGTCAGATGATTTGACACGCACTGAGGCGGTATGCCCCTTTTTAATTATTTTCATCAATTAATTTGCCAATAAAAAGAGAACTGTCATTTTATCTAACCGCGTATCAACACGAGCGATAACTCACAGCATTTACTAGAAAGTTCCAAATGTAAACGCCGCGTGTAAATTTTAGGTGAGAATAAAAGAAACGTTGAGAAAATAAGTTATATTTTTTCTTCATTTGGATTATACTTTAGGTCAAACGGCATACACAACCTCTAAAATGTTTGTTATAATTGATTTTGTTCAGGTTTCCTTATACGGGAAACTACATGGAAGCTCGGGAAACCTCACGATTCCTAAAGTTTCCTTGACTCAGGAAACCATATGGAATCGGAGCGTAGTGGTTTCCGTGAAATGGAAACTTGATGGAATCTTCAGGTTTCCTTATATTAGAAACTACATAGAAGCTCGGGAAACCTCACGATTCCTAAAGTTTCCTCGACTCAGGAAACCATATGGAATATGAGCGTAGTGGTTTCCGTGGAATGGAAATTTGATGGAATCTTAAGGTTTTCTTTTATGGGAAACTACATGGAAGCTCGTGAAACCTTATGATTCCTGAAGTTTCCTTGACTAGGAAACTATATGGAACTTGTGTAGCACTTTCTGTGCGGCGGAAACTTGGTGGAATTATCTGGAGTCCCATTCATGGTGGAAATTACTGGGAAACTTCAAGATTCCCCAACTTTTCTAAAGGAAGCAATGTGAAATAATGTGCATTCTTTTAAAAATCTATCAAAAAAATTTATTACATGTAAAAGAAAAAAGCATTATCATTTTATATGTTTAATAATTCATTTGATGTACAAAAACTGTAACTGAATTTTTCAATGATATCAAAATATTAAATAAATTCATATATCTTAGATAAACAATGGAACAGTCTTTCACATTTAAGTCCATTCATAAGGGTCATTAAGTACTTCTTTCAACATCAGTTTCCTGGTTTTCTTCACATCACCTATGATCTGCAATATTCATACAAAATTATTATATGATGTCAGAATTATAATGCTTGAATATAACTTAGAAATCTGAAAGATCAGTCAATGTCCTTTAATATACATGTACAAATATCAATAATTACTTTCCATGACCATTATACATATGATTTCAGCATTTAATCTATCTCTTTAATATTTAATGCTTTATGATAAGTGAAAAAAAATAACATAATATAAATAATGTTTTCAGCCTTAGTATGTCATTGAGAATATATTACTACATGTATCTCATACTAAGAACCCTGCTTTAAGTTTGATTAGTTTGAGAGAAAACATACCCTTTTTATAATAACAAAAATATTGTGGGAGAGATTTTTTTTTTAATTTAGATATTCGACCTTTAAATTGGTTGAAGATCATTGCAGACCCTACACCCCATTACACAAAAGCTAGATTACACCAGGGGGGGTGCCTGTGGACACTAGATTTAAAGATATCAGATGGTTCCAATCTGACCTTTGACCTAAAAATTTCTCAAGGTAATGGAGTGATGGGTGGAGCACTTGTTAGGGTATCCACAGAACAGGATCTTAAAAATAATGCAATATATATATATATTACAGTATATATACACATGTACTTGTATGTTAATGATTTATCATATGCTGCATTGGACACATATGATTTTATCATGGTTTAAGTATACATGTATCTTATGAGTAATCTTATACCGGTATTGCATGTATGCTCAGTTTATTAAGAAATAAACAATAAGTTTATAAACTTCAATGGGAGAGATAACACAAATGTATATATTAACAAGTAATTTAATTTTTTTTTTTTTTTTTACATATATTGACCAACATTATTTACATCCATTCACCATGTTCATGAATTGGCTGATCAAAATTCAGTCAGTTTTAGATCTATATGATATACCATAAAGGACTTTGAAGTTTCACATTTACAAAAGTTATTCCCCTTCGCAGGGTCGATCTGGGGTCAACCGGCTTAAGACTCTGTTTTCCCTCTTTAACCGTATCAACGTTGAGGGACAATATCTTAGAAATAAAATCTGTATGAACATATTCATTATAATTTTCATGTTGCCCCCATACTCTGGCAATACAGATACAGATCGTGATTGTCCAATATTTTTTGAAGATTGAAAATATATTAACAAGTAACTTACAAAAGGACAAAGTGGGAAAAATGAGCGATACGCCGGCAATTGGAGAAAACTCTTAGGAATGTGAAATTCGTCTATTGGTGATGACAATTCCTGTTTTAATGTCACTGAAAAATTAAGAGACATTAAAAATTTAAGCCCTGATTGTCATACACGCATGCTGTTTGTTCATCCATATAACCTTTTAGTATCATAAAATTTACCAAAATTTAATACTTCAATATAATTTCATTGAATATATCTATAAAATAAAGGAAACTCTAAAAAATTAATGAAAATTTACCAAAATTTAATACTTCAAATAATTTCATTGAATATCAGAAATTATTCCATTGGAGAGAAAAAATATCTATCATATTTCATATAAAATATATGCATGAGCCTTTTTTATGCATTTAAAACATATGGTATGTGCCTCATTTCCCCAAGAAATTTTCAAAGACAATGGACTATCTGTAAGCAGAAATCATTGCTGTTTACTTACACTGGAAAAATTTATGAAAATAACTAATTTCCTATTTTTCTAATTTTGAATAATGCTAAAAATAATTTAATCTATCAAAAATAATCTAACTGACTGTAAAATAACATTTTTCATAATCTTAATCTAAGGGCAGATCACTCTAACTTCATAAAACTACCTATATTAAAGTAAACTCTTTAGTGTGCAGTTTTTAGAGCTTCCTTTAAGTAATCAAAATACTGACCAGCAAGAAATCAGTTAATAAGCATTTCCTTTTTTTCATTCAATTTTTTGGAGAGAGCTCAGTTTTTTTCCTTTTCAATTCAGGTTCAAGATGACAAAGTTTTATTGAAGTGTATGTATTAGAGAACTGATTGTATGTCAATCATAGCAATACACACATAACATGGAGGGGGTAAATTGTTTCAACCCTAGCTTTTACATAAAACTTCTTGTAGCTCACAGCTGATAAACCACAGTTCAGTATTTAAATAAAATTTAGAATCTTTTTTTTTCCAGGCAATTGTCATATACATACTAATCATGAATGAATTACCACTTACCAAATGACCACATCCTGAATCATCATACATTTTCTATGATTTTATCTCACTGGTTTTCTTTTAACGTCACACAGTTTTCTTCTCTCTGAAATGATAAATTATGTCCAGGTACTATTGCATTCTAATTTAAACTAATTATGTAATAGCATTAGCAACAACCGTGATGGAAGAAAAAATAACCAGAGGTCTCTGTCGAGACTGTAGCTCTAAAGACTGATGCACAGAATTATGTATAGTCTACTTGTGTGCCAAGTTATATTGAAATCAGACTAAAATTTAAGGAGGAGTAGTGTTTGCAGACAGACGGACAGACAGACAGACGGCCGGACGCATTACTATCGCATAAGCTCTTCCTGGTCTCCGACCAGTAGAGCTAAAAACAAGATGCGCTTGTGAAACACAGCAACAAAGTTTGAAAATGCAATTTTTTTTAGCATACAGGTCACAGTCAAGATCACATAATCATTGTCCTTGTTGCCATTTGAAAGCACTTCATTAGTGAAGTATGCATACTAAATATGAAGCCACTATAGTTCTAAAGTTATGGTGAAGGTTTAAGTTGACGACAGACACTCAGACAGACACACAGATATACAGTTATGGCAAAAGTTTGAACATTATAACTTGGTATCACACAGCCACTTCGAGGTATCAAGGGTAAAATTCATAGCACAGCGGGACTGCATTTTGACTTCAAGGGATCAAGGGTTTCAGAGATCAGGAGTTCGAGAAATCAAGAGCAAATCTGCTTAGTTATATAGGAAAAAAATCGGGACCTAAGACTCACTTCAAGTGATCAAGAACTTCTGAGAAATTGAAGTTCAAGCCATCAAGAGTTACTTGTATATACAGATATAAGAAGCATGTTATTATTTGCAATTTTGACCCAATGACAGCTAAATCTGTTCAGTAAGACAATACCGTGTACATGTATGTACAGTTTTATTGTGCATTATTTGCTATACATTGACCTACTCAGGTCAATAATTGTGAAAAAACTGTTAATTCATGCTGATGATTCATTTGCATTTCTTGACATACTATCAATATTAATTAACTATTAGGCTTTTTTTTTTTAAATCTTCATCTCAACAGGTTAGACATTACAAAAAAAAATCTTTTGAGCAGTAAACTATTTCAATAAACAATAAAACAAACCTAATTTCTTCAGAAAAGTGGACAGGCTTTCACCTACATTCACTTTTTATGTATGTTTTTCCTCCATATCATCGACAGACCCTGCATATGATTAAGGGTTATGCAATCTATTCCTACTGTTCTGATGAGGATATCCTTCATGAATAATCGGATAAGCTGAGATTGTAAAAATGTCGATGCTTTTATCAAAGTTTTGAACCAAAAATATTTAATTTATACCTTGATATAAGTCGTAAGTTCCAAAAAACAAGAGTTGGCTATCCGAAAAGTCAGAAATCACATGTATTCAAACCGGATGTTCTACAGTCTGAATTTAACTACGAAACCATGCTCGGTGTAACTATTATCATCCGGATAATTTGAGCGGGGTTAAAAATATTTTTTTTCATTCCGAAAAGTATTCATTTATATATAGAGAGAGAACATACATTTTTTTAATAAACTTGATAAAAAGCGAAACGTTGCCATTTTACAACATACAGCATGCACATGCACGGTGCCTTTGGGGCCTCCATAATCAAAGTTATGCTATATATCACTGTCTCAAATTTTTTTCTCTCTCTCTTTATCTCTGCAATATATACACTCAACAATTTAAAACTTAGGTATCCAACTTTTCAAAATGGCGTCAGAACAAAAGTTGCCTCCGATAGTGAAGATTTGTTGTTGCCAAATATTACAACTATTTACCGTAAAAAGTTAACAAATGTATACGTACACTAATCCTTCATCGTTGGCCATTGCATTTATCACAGTCTTAAAGACACTGGGTGGTGAAACCATCTTAACTTTTCACATTTACCAGCTGCTTACACCTTCTTCTTCGTCCTTCTCGATCCTCCAAAAATGGCGCCTTGGGAAATTGACCAATGAAATAAAGCGCCCAGAGAGCGATGCAGGATGGGAAATATAAACTGTTTTCAAGTGTGATTTTGAGATCTTAATATTAGAATTTAATTAAGTTTTCCGCTTTTCATGGAATAAAAAATGGGGCTCCTAAATATTTTTGCCGATATGATGTGAAGGCCTAGTACTGTATATTTAGAAAAAAGCGGTTACATACATGATGCAGAAAAAAATTGTTTCTTGCTTGACACCTCAACTTATTTGCCTTCGGGATATGGGTTTCGGGGCTTGGTTGTTGGTAGTGGCCGTCCTTGCTGAAAGTAACCCCCCCCCTTTCCCCCGCTTCTTTTAACTGTTACATGTATGATTATGAATTTATAATGTCACACCAAAAGATGTTAAATTTTTAAAAGCACATTTTTTTTATTGTGAACTTTCCACAGGAATCATAAAAGGCATGAAAATGAGCTACAATTATAATATGATTATCAAGAACAGTTTTTTTTATTTCAATAGTGATGATTGAAAAGTTCGGTGATTAATAATTCATTGCTAATAAATTGTTGTGGTTTTTTTGGGGGGATTAAATTACTAATTGAACTCCCTCCTTTTTGGGGTTTAATTAGATTTTGCGCCCGTATCAATATTACTGGTGGACCTGCTAGACTTTTCTCTAATTGCTACATGTACATTGTACTTTAAACTTCTTGGCCTTTAGCTAAAATTTCCCACAATTTTAACCCACATCATTTTAACACGTAAAATTGTTAAATGAATCAGAATGTTGAAAACCTTTTTCTTAGGAGAGTTATATCTCTAGGTGGAACAAAACTAACATCTTATCAAAGGCAGGAAAATATAACAGTATTTTAATTCAGTATTTTAGTCGTGATTGGTATAAGTGAAGTCATGGGAAAGATTATGTCGAAAGTCATCTATACTCGTTGATGTGCAGGACGTACTGTACTTATGCATACAGCTTTAGCTGGTCCCGCCCTGTATTTCTTAATGTTTTTTTTTCGTTAAGAAATCTGGTAAGGTATGTTAGTAAAAATAAAATCCCGGTTAGTTTATTACTCTGAACGGAAATTACTTTCCTACAGGCCTGGAGATTCAGTCTATTAGTCACCCAAGTTTTTTTTCAAAAAGAGTCAACTAGCATGTCGGCGAATAAAAATAAAGTAGTGCACAACATAGATAAAGAAATGTTTGTTGAAGTATTGACAAACTTCATACCTTTATAGAATGAAATCAACAAAAACTGAACAAAAATACAATTGTGACAATTATACAATGAATTAATCACAGGTACTTGTACAGATACCCCCCCCCCCCCCCCGATATTCAATCCCAGGGCTTATTAGAATTTTTTTTTCAAAAATTATATTTATAACTCTTATTCATCATGTGTACAATATGAAAAAAATCGCCAAAACCCCAAAACAATCGTTCCACAAAAAAAAAAACCCCACTATACATTATAAGGGAGAAAGGTATGCCACTCCGGTTTGTTTACGTTGTACCTCCACTTTATAAACATGTATTTATTTTATTTCAACCTAAAATGTCGATTCACATCGTCTCTGCATATATTTCTGTCTTCGTGCATGCTTTCGGATTAACTCTGCATCTCGTAAGAATCTATCTTTAAACAGTTTTCCAGTCAGAAGTTGAAATTTCTCTAGGTAATCGCGACGGAAATACACTTATCAGGATAACGTCCGAGAGAGTTTTGGATGACGTAATAATCTCTCTCGGGTTTTATCATACATTCTCTATGCACTTCCGTTGCTTTTACTGAGGGAAATTTCAAACCTTTCTCCCTTATAATGTATAGTGGGGTATTTTTTTTGTGGAGCGATTGTTTTAGGGTTTTGACGATTTTTTCATATTGTACACGTGATGAATAAGAGTAATAAATATAATTTTTGAAAAAAATGTCCAATAAGCCCCGGAATGGAAAATTTTACAAGTACCTTGTTAATTATATAATTCTTTTAATAGATTGCCTTAGCATGTACTACTTTAAAAGCCATTGTTCTTAAGGAAAACAAAATCATGCAAAATATTATAGACTTTTCTTTATTAAAGCAATGGCCTTTGGAGAAAAAAAATGGCTGAAAATTTTAAAGTGACATACATTTAGAAATTGTAATTTCATGTGCAGGCGTTTACTACACGGGGATCTGCGTACATATTTAAACAAAAAAGGAAAGAAAAAAAAGTTTTTTGTGATGAATTATATTATATTAAACATTTATCTAATAAATGTCTTTGTGGTACGTTAGATTACAAATTTCACACAAAAACCCATCAACAATATTAAATACAGTTTTGATTTCACATTGATCTATTAACGTCATTCTGATTTAATATAATTATACACGACGAGAATTAAGATCTATTCAATACCTATAGAAAATTATTTAATTTCTAAAGAGGATAGTTTTATTTTAAATCAGTAATGAAAATTGAAATAAAAATTCTAAATAGTTTGTTCTTTCATTGAACTTCTTAAATGAAGGTTATTTTATAAATATGTTCTCTTGTTTAACTTTATTTATGGAATATACATTTTTTTTAAATGATAAGAGAAACACGAATCATCATCTTAATTCAAAGGGATTTTCGGTCAGAGACTGTGTGTGTACATGCTCGACAACAGCCTATTGTTTCCTTTAGGTACAAAACCGTCTCAATTCACATAGAATATACAAAAAATACACAGTGACAGGTGTCTTCGCGGCACGTGTCTCCACCTGAAATGGCACGTGAGGACAGGTGTCCCTAATTACACAGGCCGACCATAGTGATTTTTTCAAAAGCGTTTTTCTTTTGGTGGGGGGGGGGGAGGGGGGCTTAAGGAAAAAATGAAAAGAAACCCACCCACCCCCAATAATAAAAATAATAATTTGATAAATTAAAAAAAAACAATATTCACTATTAATAGTAAAATACTCAACCCCCCGCCAATTCGATGAATGATTCTTATCTGACCAGTTTATATTAATATATTAATTCATATTAAAACAAAATCTTTATCACTTTCTAAACTTGTATTTAAAAACTTGAAACACTAAAAATGTAATTTTGACAAACCAACTGAAGTATTTTTTTCCTGACGGATTACCCCGGTATATAGAAATGCCAACCTCTGGTATCTAACACAAATGCCTGGTAAGGTACCTTGATGTCTTGCTAAAAAACATGTAATTATGTAAAAATAATTCTTCAATGTCAATTGCAAAATATTGGGAAATTTTTTTTATTATTTTATTGAGGAACGTTTCACCTGTCCTTAATCAGTAATCGTAACTTGACATATTTCTTTATTTACTTTTTAATCGATCTTTTTAGTAAACCTTTTCTGTAAATAATTTCATTAAATGTACCCTTCCTTAGCTCTTACATTTTTTCAAAGGAACATTCATCATAGACAGCTTCAAGAAAGTGGGATCGGGAATGATTGATTTCTACATAACTGCATGCACTTACTTTTTTCTATTCCACTTCACGCATTCTATACGAGTTTACCAAAACTTATGTGATAAATCAAATTCAAAATTAAATTAAATTAAATAAAATTCCGTTAAATAAAATTAAATTAAAATTGAATTGCGTTCACGGTGCTGAAATATTAAATTAATCACACAGAAATACACATCTAGTTATTTTAACTGGTTGAAGTTAATTATTTTGATACAGCATGTAAACACTTTTGAAATATTTCTATAATTGGTAAAAATATGTTAACATAATTAAATATTTAACTTTTTGTAAAAAAAAGGTAGGTGCTTAGCATTGAGATATACTTTCAAAGTTTCCCTGCCTGGGAAACATGGGGAAAACTACACATTGGTGGCTTCCATGTCGGAAATCTGTATGGAAACCACTGAGGCATGTTTACATGGTTTCCTATCTTGGGAAACTTAAACGGAAACCACAGGTTGATTGTTTCCATGTCGGGAATCTAACATGGAAACCACCGGGGCATGTTTCCATGGTTTCCTATCTTGGGAAACTTACGGGGAAACCACAGGTTGATTGTTTCCATGTCGGGAATCTATGTGGAAACCACCGGGGTATGTTTCCATGGTTTCCTATCTTGGTAAACTTACGGGAAACCACAGGTTGATTGTTTCCATGTCGGGAATCTATGTGGAAACCACTATGTGGTTTCCATAAATGGAAACTATATGGAAACTACTGATGTCACGATTCCCATATGTTTTCATGGGTTTCCAAATTTGGGAAACCTGGCTTTTCATCCTGTGATAACCTGATCTGAAAATCTTCAGTTATTTTTATTTAAAGCACCAGTGACAATTCGCAAAAATTTGAAGCGTAGAAATAAATCAACAGCTTTTTGACCCAAATTCGCAAAAATAAATCGACGTAAAAATTTCCAGATTTACGGTATATGGTACGTGGCATTAAACCCCGGAAAAATAATTGTCATATTTAAAGGACAAGTTGCGGCTCATATCTAATTTTTCAATACCATTTTATCCATTTTATAAAATATAATTTTTTTACATACAATTTTACATACATTTTCCTTACATCACTAAAAGTTGGGGGGGGGGGGTGCAACCAACGTTTCAATGAACATTTCATATGGTATATGTATTGGGGAAATTTAGTGGGGGGGGGCAAAGCAATAAGTATTTAAAACTCCAAATGGTTTCCTTTACTGTATATTGAATTTAGAAAACTATTTTTGTGTAATGTCACAGCATAGGTCACAGAAAACTTTCATGTATAAATTATGCCCCGTCATCTTATTTCTGCCTTAACAATGTTATATTGAGTTTTTTTTTAAATATCATAATCTAAAAAAATAGCAATAAAATGTTGATAACTCATTTTGAAAACATAATGATACGGATACATTTCTTCCTTTGCTAGGTTACATGGTACTCCCTGTGTCAGAGCTACGACAACCTTCTTTCATCAACCTCTTGAAAGAACCAGATAGTAAGCACGTCAAGGAACTAG